ATCTTTGGGACCAGCAGATGGCGTGACAGTTAAGGACTCTAGACCCCCACATGGCCAACCACAGTTTGCATCCCGAACCTGGCAGCCTGCTTTCTCACTTTCCCTCTCTCTCTCTTTCACTGTCTGTCTCTCTTTCTCTCACTCTGTCCCTCTCTGATCAAATTTAAATAAATAAAGTTAAATTTTTAAAAATTATCTTTTTGGTTTTTTAAAAAGTATTTATTTAATTTTATTAATTATTACTGTGGTTTTTTTTTTTTTGGGAGAGGTTTTTGGCATCGGATGTTTTTCGTTTTTGCCATAGGATGTGTGTGCTCGCAAGAGAGACAGAGAGCTAGAAAGCGAAAAATCACCCCCCACGGGAGATGGCCACACCGCAGTCCCTTCTCCTTTCTCCTCTCGGGATCTTGGGCACACATGCACACATGCCCGGCATGAATTTAAGCCACTGGGTCCGGGACTTGAATCGCGGTCAACTACGTGGGAGTCCAGTGACATAGCCATTACATTTACTGCTGGTCTCATTGCTGTTATTTTTTAATTTGGCCAGAGAGAGAGAAGAAAAGTGAGAAAGCAAGCCACCAAGTCCAGGACTTGAACTGTGGTTGGCCATGTGGGAGTCCAGCGCTTCAACCTCCATGCCACTTCTGGCCCAAAATTTATCTTTTTCTCCCCTCTAATTAGACTACTTGAATATTTCTTAGGAATCCCATTTTAATTTACTTATTGGTCTTTTAAGTATATAAATTTCCCTCTTTGTCTCCTTTTTTCCCCCCTTCCTTTCCTGCCTCCCTCCCTTCCTCCCTCCCTCCCTCCCTTCCTTCCTTTCTTTCTTTTTCTTTCTTCCTTTCTCTCTTTCTTTCTGGTAGTCACTCAAGTACTGTGGTTCACAAACTTTAGCATGTGGCAGATGACAGAGAGAGCCTATTAAAGCTCTCGTTCCTCTCACTGTTTCTCTCTCGCTCTATCCCTCTCCATCTTCCTCTACTTCTCCCCTCCCCTCCCTAGCAAGCACGTGTGCCCTGTGCCAAAACCTCTAAAAACAAAAACAAACAAACCAACAAACAAACAATATTTGGGCTCCATTCCCTGAGTTTCTGATTTAGTAGATCTAAGGTTTATTTTGAGAATTTACATTTCTATCAAGTCTCTAGGTAATGTTGATGCTGCTGTTTGGGGATTATTCCACTTTTCTAAGGAATAAAATATACATTCTTAGTTTGTATAGTCTACTTAGAGTTAATAGTATTTACCACTTCCCTTAAAATATAGACCGCTTTTAGTTAAATAGGTCCGTTTACCCTCTACCCTTAATAACACCAGCTGACTCCCACTAATGTTTATGCTACATTTTTTATTTGTGTCATAAATACAGTCAGGCATATGTATCCTAAAAAAATTTAAGAAAAATAGCCTGTTGTCCTTATCTACATATTTACCTTTAACTATATTCAAAAATGTTTATGCTTAATTTTTTTTTTCTTTTCTTATAGTGTCTTAACAAGTTTAGTTGTGAAGCCGGTAGGTGGCATGGTGGTTGGGATCCTGGACTACCCCAGTTTGAGTCCTGGTCCTGGCAGCTCTCTCTTTCTCTCTGGTGCGCACACATGCCCTAGAGCAAATTTAAAATAATAGTAATAATATATAATTAGTTAATTCTTTAAAAAGAAAGTTTAGTTGTCCACAGGCCTCCATTATTACTGAGGGGAAGTCAGCAGTCATTGAAGTGATTCTCGACAAAGTGTGTCATCTGCTTTCCTCCTCTCATCTCCCCTCTCGATGCCCCCTGGGTCTCTCTGTTGAGATCCAATCTGTGCCATCACTTCTTTTCTTTCTTTTTTTTCTTTTTTTTTTGAGAGTTTTTTGCTATAGTGTGTGTGCGCTCACCAGACAGACAGAGAGAGACAGAGAGACAGAAGGAGAGAAATCACCCCCCAGGGGGGATGGCCACGCTGCAATCCCTTCTCCTCCATTCTCCTCTCAGGATCTTGGGCACGCACGCACGCACACCCGGCATGAGTTTAAGCCACCGGGTCTGGGACTTGAACCATGGTTGACTACGTGGGAGTTCAGCGACATAGCCATTACGCTAACTGCTGGTCCCTGTACCATCACTTCTTCACAAGTAGTTTGCTCACTCATTTGGCCACTAAGCACGCTGGCTCCGCGAATGCCGATAACCTTCCACTGTATATATGCTAAATAACACACATTGTTTGTTTGCTTTGTAAAGGTGCTGTCATTCTTCCAGCCCTTTGAATAAAAATCTTGAAGCTATCTTTTACCTTTCTTTTATCTCACAGTGTCCATATCCTGTTAGTTCTTGTTTGGGAATATCTTGCATTTATTATTTCCTTCTTTATCTACTGCTGACTTTTAGGTTTTGGAGTCCAAAATAATGAAAAAATTATTTAAAGATACAATGGCAGAATTTTTCCAGTCAGCATGCTGGATGATTTCACAAGTCATTGCTCTTCTTTCTTCTTTCTTTTCTTTTTAGAGAGATATTATTTGTAGAGCACATGTGCTCACCAGAGAGACAGGAAGTGAGAAACCACTCCACCCCACTTGGGGGATTGGCCACACCGCAACCCCTGCTTCTGCATTCTCCTCTTGGGATTTTGGGTACGTACACACAGGCACCCGCCATGATTTTTAAGCCACCAGGTTCAGGATTTGAACCGTATTTGACTACTAGGAGTCCAGCAATGTAACCATTACGCCATCTGCTGGTCCCAGCCTTTGCTCTTCTTTCTATCCCTTACTAATTTCTACAGACCAGTTTTCCATCTCTATTACATAAGCAATCTTTCTAAAATACTGCTTTTATTTTGTGTTTTCCTGCTCAAGATTTTCACTGACTCCTCATTTCTTCTGGCATATTTCTTCTGGGGAGGAAATTATTCTCATGTGCTCTCATTCTTTACAACAATTATTTTTTAGATTTTTCCCATAGGGTGCATGCGCTCACCAGAGACAGAGCAAGACAGACAGCAAGAGAAAGTGAGAAATCATTTCCTGGTTTGGGTGGGGTGGCCACACTGCAGTCCCTTCTCCCCCGTCCTCCTCTTAGGATTCTGGGCATGCACGCACATAGCTAGTGTGTTTCCAAGCACCTGAGCTGAACCCTGAACTGCAGAGTAGGCCACATGGGAGTAGCCCCTTAGCCACCCTGTCACCTGCTGCTCTGATAAGTTATTTTTATTTTTAGTAATGCACCTTAAGTACGCCAAAATTTAACACTAAATATGAAGTTTTTCACACATAACTACTTATGTGTAATAGTTTACAAATTCATTACAAACAAATCTATAACACAAATAAAATTTAAATTGGTAACATGAATGTGACATTGTTTGCCAACACCACGCCGAGCGTGGACACGGTGCAGACTCTGAGTAAGGTGTGGGATTGTGCCACCGAGGTGACTCAGTCAGCTGTCACCTTCAGTTTTCAGGCTGCAGGGAAACGGCCGGCTGTGATACCATTTGGCCATCCCCTGGCATGAATCCGTCATTTGTGGAATAGATAGCCCTCTGTCTTTTCTCATCCTTCATTTAGACTTGGAAAGTTAAAATAGCACCGCTTGGCTCAGTAAGTAAGAATGCACATTTAGGCACTGCCTGGTCATTTGAGGTTACTAGGTGAGATGATCCAGAATATGATGTGTGTGTGTGTGTGTGTGTGTGTGTGTGAGAGAGAGAGAGAGAGAGAGAGAGAGAGAGAAAGAGAATAAGAATTATTGACTTAGAAAAAAAACAAATTGAGAAGATCTTTGTAGGAAAGAAATAGAATCTCAAAGTCAATCCCATACTCCTAGACTCTACACCCTGTTGTAAGTATCACTCACTTACGGGATAAAGAGCGAATTAGGAATACTGGCATCCAGGCCCTCGCTGATTTGGATGAACTCCCGTTCCTTAGCTTTGTTCTCTTTTCTGTCTCCTTTCTGCCAGGGGACGTGCTCCCCCTGTCCCAGATGTGTGCCTCCTGTTCCTGCACAGGCCCATCTGAGTGTTAAGGAACAGCCATGCTTTCCTGTCCCCTTGAAGCTTCTGTCCACCTCTTCAGTTGTAATTTGATTTTTCTCTTTCTTTAAATCCTCTTTGAATTTCTTCTATAGCTAGTATTTTGACATTTTGGGGGGGGCAACATTTTTTTAAGAGAGTTTTTTTTTGCTATCGGGTGTATGTGCTCCCTGGAGACAGAGGGAGACTAAAGACAGAAAACAAGAAATGACCCCCTAGGAGGATGGCTGCACCACAATCCCTTCTCCTCCATTCTCCTCTCTGGATTTTGGGCATACATACACATACGCCCGGCATTTTAAGCCACTGGGTCCAGAACTCAGATCTTGGCCAGCTGTGTAGGAGTCCAGCAATGTAACCATTATGCCTCTGCTGATCCCTGTAATGTTATTTTAAATGGTTTGATTTTCATGTTTTTGCATCACTTGACTTTAGGGGCCGTAAGGGAAAAATAGTGTCTTAAAAATGTTTGCATAGTCTTCAGGAGTATTGCTATACCTGAAGTACTTAGTAAAAGAATCAAATGATTAGATGTAATATTCAGTATTAGAGACTTAGTTGGGCTTTTTGGTTGTTGTTTTCTTCATATAGTGTATAACTAGAATACTTTAATGTAGAAAATTCGTATTTCTAGAAACTAAAATGCCTTAAATTTTTTATATTTTTGCATTATTTTCCTTTTATTTATTTATTTTATTTTTTAGTGGTTTTTGCTATGGGGCATGTGTGCTTACTGGAGAGACAGAGACAGAAAGCCAGAAATCACCTCCGGGGGGGATGGCCATGCCGTGATCCCTTCTCTTCCATCTTCCTATTGGGATTTTGGGCATGCACACACACGGCGCCCAGCATGAGCTTTAACATGCTGGGTCTGGGATTCAAACTCCAGTCGACTATGTGGGAGTCCAGCAATGTAACTATTATGCCGTCTGCTTGTTCCTATTTTTGCATTAATTGGTCCCTCACTTTCAGGACTGTTGGGAAAGATCCTGATGACTATCCGAGATGCGTGCTTTGAAATCTCAGCTATGCAGATGGTAGGTACTTTGCAATAAGTCATAATGTACTGAGAATTTTATTTTTTGAAATGAGCTTTAAAGTATTGTACATTGACATTCTCTGTGTTCTTACGAACTGTATGCATTAAAAATAAAAACACACATACACTGAAATCAATAACCTTCTTGTAATCAAAAAATATTTTTGAAATTTAGTTTGCCCATGAAATTTTTTACTGAAAGAATGGATAGTCAAAGGATATTGGCAGTTTAAGCTGATCAAGTGAGTTTATACAATTCTTGGAACTTCAGTTGAAAATAAATGAAGATCAGAAAAATATTTAGTTTTTACAGACAAAAAAATAGAATCAGAGTGAGCCATTGTAATGAGTTTCTGCCTTTGGGATTCCTAACTAAGCAGATAATGAATTTAAGAGAATCGGTTCAGGTTGTTTCTCTGACCAGTGCCTGGGGTGGTGTCCAGGCATCCCTCGGACTGCCCGTGGACTTAGTGTATGTTGACCCTTCTGTTAGCACTCCCCTGGGCCCCCAAAGCCCACACTAGTTCAGGATGGCCCCGTCACACGTGCCTAGGGAGCCATTCACAATAGCCATGTCAGTAGGCATGATATCTGTGTGTACTTACTCATGTGACTGTCAAGCAATTGAGTCCCAGACTATTACTGTGATCAAATAAGCTATTTAATTTTTGTAGTGTCTAAAGCTCAGCAAGTTTATACTTTTTTAATAGTAAAATACTGAAATGCCCATTTTAGAGGTGAGAATTTTCTTACCACATTACCCACAGTAATGCTAAAAAGGAACTGCTTTGTATTCTGTGAAGTTTTAGGATCACTCAAAATCAAGGGTCAGGGCAAATATGGGTTCTGTCTATTGTACCCCTTAGCAGTCATCACCAAATAAATAAATAAAAGATAAATAACAGCTAGTCTGCTGAGTCATCAAGCAAAATCTAGAGACTGATGAGAATATTGATATTTGAAGAATGTTGCCTAGGATTGTAATGAAATTGTTAGCTAAAACTTTCTAATAGTTGCAGGACCTACGCCTACCTAAAAGTGAAAAGTTGTAAAATTTTAGTTTGGGCGTTGTCTCAGCTCCAGCACCGTGATCGGCCACAGTAGAGATTCGATGAAATAGTAGACAGCTGAGCCTGTGGGCAGGTGCAATCGTGCGGTGGCGACCGGAGTCACGAGACTTTCACAGTCAGTTAGATTGTTTTGGACCATGTCTAGCCACATGGCCTCGGCCAGATGTCCAGCACTTTTACTCTTAGTTTTCTCATCTAGGCAGTGAGAACACTATCATTTACCTGAACGGGTTATGCAACAGATTCAATGAAATAACCACACTGAGGAAAAACAAATTTGGTTCTCTTTCTATACACTCAACAACACAGACCACTTCTATGGTCCCAAAATGTGTGGGAGTCTTCCCCCCACCCGCAAGCTCCCTACCCCAGCAAGCAAGCCGTCAGTTGACAGCGAATACCAACCGGGTGTCCTTGACTTCAGCATAATTCTGCCTCTGTCCTCCTGGAGACTGTCAGAACCCGTAAGTTGAAAACTCAGCCCCCAAATTTGCGCCCCTTTAAAAACGAAGGAAAAGTTCAGGCCTCTGGAGCTTCTGACCAACCGTTTACAAATTGGGGGTCATCATCTCCTCTTTCAGTTCAGTTAATTTGCCAGAGCCCCTGAAGAACTCAGGGAAACACTAGCTGACATTGGCCAGTTTAATATAAAGAATTCTTTAAAGGATATGTGAACAGCTACATGAACAGATACAAGGGGCAAGACCCGTAAGTCCCGGGTGCAGTAAGTTCCATCCTGTGCAGCTAGGACGCGCCCCTCCCCTGTGGATGAGGTCGAGTTCACCTTCTTACAAGCCTCCAGTTTCAGCTGTGCAGAGCACTCTTTGTCCCTTCGGGCTCTCTCAGGTGATTTCACTACAGAGACATGACTGCAGTATGAACAACCGTGCAGAAATGCGAATGGCTAAAAGGGTGACCTCATCTACCCTGATAGACCGAGTGGGAGACCCAGCAAGTCCTGTCTGTCCAGATTCTTCCTGGCTCCTCTGTGTAGTCTTCCTTCCTCCCAGGTGTGAGTGACCAGGACCCTTGGGAAAGTGGGGACATACTCTCAGGCACAGTGGGCCAGAGCTTTCTTGTGGCCAGCTCCAAGGCAAAAGGTGGAGTGTTGTGTTAGTTTTTATGACCTATTTTAGGAAAGAGAAATCCTAGCTTCTATGCCCTGCCTTGGAAAGCTTCAGGAACCAAGGACAAATGGCCCCAAATAATTACGAGCCAGGAACCGAAGATTACAAACAAAACAAACAAAATGTATGTTATAATATTAAATATCATACATATGCAATGCCTTGCATAGCTTCCTGCTCAGATTACTAAGTATTTAATACATCAATCATTCTCCTGTGATCATCTTGTCACGTGGTAATATAAGTTGTGTAAATATAGTAAAAACACTGAAATCAAACAGAATCCTTGCCCTGTAAGAGTAAGAAAGGTAGATCCTCCCGTGTGAGTTCCTGTGCATGTAGGCAGAAACTTCTCAGTGATCTTCAGCCTTGGCAACCATTAAAAGAAAAGAGGAAAATAAAATGGGAAATTCTGATACTCTTTAAAAACCTAAGGTTTTAGTACTTGAGACCGTAGACTGTAATGAAATTTTATTCCTAACTAAATTTAAATCCAGCATTGGTCAGAATGAGCCTTTCTAGCCTTATTCTGTAAGCCTACTCTTACCCACTATTCTTTCTGAAGAGGAGAAGGAATTCCTACTTTATTATGAACCAGACTAACGAGATTTTTCTGAATTCTTGGGAGGAAAATGCTATCATTTTCTACCCCTCTAAGGAATCCGAAGCACTTCTCTCTAGTGATGCAGTCGTGCATCGTGTCATGTTGTTTTGGTCCATGAGACCACGTATACAACAATGGAACTGAGAAGCGCCTGTCACCTGGTGGCACCAGCTGTGGTCATTCATGCAGTATGTGCAGTCCTGCATCGTGATAGCTAATGGCCAAGTTACTGGCTTCTCTGTTCCCTCCACTTTTTGCCTGGTTAGAGTTACTCACCCCCATCACCATCTGACTCAGAGCAACCTCCCATTGCAGGCGCCACTCACGCTGAGTGCCCCAGAAAGGCGTCCCGTTTATGCTTTGCACTGTATGCGCACTGTATGTGCACTGTACCTGCACTGTATGTGCACTGTATGTGTACTGTATGTGCACTGTACCTGCACTGTATGAACACTGTATGTGCATTGTATGAGCACTGTATGTGCACTGTTCCCACACTGTATGTGCACTGTACCTGTACTGTGTGTGCACTGTACCTGCACTGTACGTGCACTGTATGAGCACTGTACCTGCACTGTATGTTCACTGTACCTGCACTGTATGTGCACTGTATGAGCACTGTATGAGCACTGTACCTGCACTGTATGTGCACTCTACCTGCACTGTATGAATGCTGTTATGTGCACTGTATGTGCACTGTACCTGCACTGTATGAACACTGTATGTGCACTGTACCTGCACTGTACGTGCACTGTACCTGCACTGTATGAGCACTGTACCTGCACTGTATGTGCACTGTACCCGCACTGTATGAATGCTGTTATGTGCACTGTATGTGCACTGTACCTGCACTGTACATGCACTATATGAGCACTGTACCTGCACTGTATGTGCACTGTACCTGCACTGTACCTTTTCTCAGTTGAGGTGCATTTGGGTACACAGATACTACGCAGTGTGCGGCAGTGTTCGGCCACGTGCCGTAAGCTCTATGGCCAGGAGCACTAGGCTGCACTGTCTGGGTCTGAGTGAGCACACACTGGGATGTGGGCACAGAGGTGAGGTTGCCCAGCAACAGAGATTTCTGGGTTGTCCCTTCTCCAGTCCGTGGCGGGGGACTGCATTTCTTTCTTGCGCACAGATCCATCAGGAAACGTTGCACAGCACATATGGCTTTCTGCATATCCAGGAGGGCTTTTACCCAGGGAGAGATGCACTTTAGTGGCACGAACATGCTGCTGAGAGAGGGTGCCAGATCACGGGAGTGCTACGACCCTTGGAGTCCGAGAAGCCTCCTCTGTAAACCCAGGCTGTTAATATTGCCTGTCATGAGGCTGTTGTGAGGGTTAAATGAGATGCTACTTGTTCAGAACCTAAACGATGCTTGTGACACATTTAGTGCTCAGTAAATGGTATCCATTACTATTGATAAGCTGACCTCCAGTAACACTTTTTCTTCAGTGAGTAATTTTTGCAAGGATATGTTTAAAAGTAGAGAAAATAAATCCAAGAGCTCACAAATGTCGAGCGCTAAATGTGGTTCATTTATTTTTCTTTTGTTGTCTGACTTATGAGATTTCATTTTATTTTTTAATATAGTTCAATATGGATCGAGTTAATGTTGAAGAATTTTATGAAGTTTATAAAGGAGTAGTGTCTGGGTATAACGTAAGTATTGAAGTAAATGTAAGGCTTTGGGATAGTGAAAATACTGTGTGGACCTCTAGTCTTAGGGCTCCAAATATAATTTATAATCTCCAAGTTATCCCCATTGAGCCAATGGAAAATGTGATACTGCTCCATTGATGAAACTAACATATACAGGAGGGGTGCAAAAGAAAGAGAAAGAGAGAGAGGAGAAAAAAAGAGAAAGGAAAAAAGAAGGAAGGAGGAAAGAAGAAGGAAGGAAAGATATTAGGCATTACCAAGGACAAAACAAACTTTGACATTTCCTGTGACATTTAGCACCCTCTCAGGAGGGAAGGCTGACCGACACACTCGAGCACACTCAGTCAGTGATCCTTCAGAGCGGTGTGATTCCCGGGCCATGCTTCATCTCCAGTTCAGTGACACAACCGTGGATGGGGTCAACTGAGATGGAGAAATACAGACTTACAGGAGTCGCTCACAGGGCCATGAAATCTGTTCTTGAAAACAAATGACTGTGTTCAGATCTGGTTTCCTGACAGAGCAGATGCTCAGTGACAGGTGGTTTCCAGCCTAGCCTCGGCGGCCCGGAGGAAGCACAGTACTGCAGTGCTGGAAGCTTGTGGAAGGTTGGGGCTCAGTCCTGGGTAGATCTGTTCACACTGGGTGCACACCAAAGGTGCACCTGTGACACTGGCTGGCTGAGAACACTGGCGAAGACCACAGCGTGGACCTTGGGGAGGGTGCTTGTCCCCTCTGCCTCTCTCTCGCTCTCTCTGCCTCTCTCATGAAAGAAAGATTAAAAACTTTATATTTTTTCTTAGAGACACTCTTGGTATAGGGTACATGTGCTTGCCAGAGAGACAGGAAACAAGAGATCACCCCCCAGGGGGGATGCCCACGTTGCAATCCCTTCTCCTCCATTCTCCTCTCGGGATCTTGTGCACACGCATGCGCCCAGCATGTGGTTTAAGCCACCAGGTCCAGGACTCAAACTGCGGTCGATTGCATGTGAGTCCAGCAATGCAACCATTATGCCATCACTGGTCTCAAGAAAGAAATGAATTTTTTTAAAAATTAGTTTCTTTGCTCTTCACTTTGTCAAAGTGTCTTAGACTTATTTCTGCTGGAATATTGCCCGGCACCCTTCACAAGGTCTCACCATGGTCCTCTCCAGTGTTCTCAGCCAGCCAGGGCCACAGGTGCACCTGTGGTGTGCACCCAGTGTGGACAGATCTACCCAGGACTGAGCCCCACCCTTCCACATGCCGCCAGCACTGCAGCATGCACTGCTTCTCCTGGAAACGTTTTCTAGGGTTTTGGCTTTTCTTTTTGTGTGACAGTGAGATTTGGTTCCTCTCCTCATTTTTCTGTGCTCTTCTGGCCTTTTTTATTTTTTTTTTTTTTAAGCTTATTTATTTCTTTCATGAGAGCAAGAAACAGAGAAAGAAAGAGAAATACTAGACCACCAGCCCCACGAACTGTGACCTACTTTTATTTTTTACATGGTACTTGCTCCAAACTACAGACTTTTCATATCTCCCCAAATCCCATTGCAACCAGCTTACAGCTCCTTAAATTCAATCCCTCCTTTTTTTTTCCACTGTGGAATCAGATGCTGGGTTCAAATCCTACATCCCTCAGTTGCATTATCACTGACGAGTTACTTTCTTTAAGTCTTGATTAATCCATCTGTTAAACGGGAATGATGCTGTTATGTACTTGATAACTGTTATCTAACTCGGTACGTTGTGTGAATTGAATGAAAGAAATCATGCCATGTGGTCTCATGTATTGAGAGCACTCACTAAGCTGCTAGTACAGTTGTCTTTGTTTCATTTAATCCAACATAATCCTTTGGCTATGGATTCCATATTGATTACTTGCATTTATATTTCCTTCTTTGTCCTTTGCAGTCATAAAAAGACGGCAGTCCTGTCCCTGAGTGTTACCACCCTTCATTGAGTCACCACCGATATATTGATTATGTCAGAAAAGGTGCCAGGTGATCAGTGATGAGCACAAAACACTCTAACTGCATTTCTGGAACTTAAGTTCTCGGGAAGGCAAACTTCAAGCACATATTCATATATGCCTGGTGTGATTTTCAAGTTGCCAGGGTCCAGGTGATCCCACCCACAGCTTCCTCAGGGCAGCAGTCGAGGGGCTGGAGATGACACATGCTTTTTGATGTTTAAAAAATTCCCATTTACTTAACAACGAAGGTGACTTACACATTCTCACTCGGTTTTTAAAAAACTTGTTTCATGCTTTTGATGAAGTTCCTTTTTCAGAATATTCTTTTTCTCTTTTGTGCATTGTTAGCAGTTCTGGGTGTGTGTGTTCCTAACAGTGTCTGTGATCAACCTGGAAACCATGAGAGCCAGAGGCAGAGACAGAGGAAGAAATACGGGAAAGATAGAAGAAAGGGAGGCAGGAAGGGGAGGAGAAGGCAAGGAGGAAAGGGGAAAGGGGAAAGGGGCAGAGGGAGGAAGGGAGAAGGACAGACAGACGCACTCCTTTCCTTCTAGACAGAGTGTCCATGCATCTTCTGCTCCTGCCAAGAACTGGCTCGTGACACACATGTGGGCAGTCCTTGTACCGCGAGTCGGAAACAGAGACTCAGCGTGGTTATTTGGGAAAACCAAGTGCGCACGACCTTCGTCAAATAGCAGTGTCTTCCAGGGATGCAGGGAGAGGTTCCCAGGAGTAGACGATGTGTTCCACTTTAATTACGAAGTCCTCACCTCCTCTTTTAAATACTACCATTTCTGTTTGCTAAGATGACTGAGTTTGGGTTCATTTTTAAATACGTTTTGTAAAAACTTGTTTTACCTCGGTATCGTGTATCCTAAACCTTCCAGAGTCGTTAGAGTGGCTGGCATGCCTCCCCTCTCAGAGGCTCCTGCACTCTCGCTCAGCTCCTGCTTCTCTGCTGAAGTAGGAGAGCCCACCGGACTCCTGCCTCAGAGGACTCAGGGTCATTTGCTTCCACCCAAAGTGGCCTTTCCCATCCAATGGGGAGAAGAGAGGAAGGGGCCAGCAGGTGGTGTGGCGGTTATGAAGCTGGACCTTACAGGCCGACCTGGACCCTGGCAACTTGAAAATCACACCAGGCATGTGCATATGTGCCCAAAACCCTGAGAGGAGAAGGGAGAGGATTGTGGTGTGGCCTAGAGGGTGATTTCTCACTTTCCCTCTCTCTGTATCTGTCTCTCACCTGTCTGGAGAGCACAAATGCCCTATGACAAAAACTTCATATATATATATATGGAGAGAGAGAGAGAGAGAGTCTTCCAGACACTGAGGGGGCACTTTTCTTAACCATTTTTAAAAATTATGTTACTTTATATTTAGATTTAAGACTCTTAAAACAGCATATTTCCAGGGCTGGGCCAGCATGTGATGTGGTGGTTAAGGTGCTCGACTCCCACCTGGCTGACCATGGTTCAAGTCCCAAGTCCTAGACCTGGCTTGCTTTCTCTCTCTATGTCTCTAGTGAGCTCACATGCCTACAGCAAATTTAAAAATAATAATAAAAATTAAATAATAAATAAAGTAAATAATTACTTTTTTTTAAAAAAAAAAAGCATACTTCCATTTTTCTTCTCCGAGTCTGTGTGCTGCTGTAATACACTTTACTTCTATACAAGGATTTCAAAAAGTTCAGGACCAGCAGTTGGCGTAATGGCTGTTGCTGAACTCCCATGTAGTTCCAGACACTGAGGGGGCACTTTTCTTAACCATTTTTAAAAATTATGTTACTTTATATTTAGATTTAAGACTCTTAAAACAGCATATTTCCAGGGCTGGGCCAGCATGTGATGTGGTGGTTAAGGTGCTCGACTCCCACCTGGCTGACCATGGTTCAAGTCCCAAGTCCTAGACCTGGCTTGCTTTCTCTCTCTATGTCTCTAGTGAGCTCACATGCCTACAGCAAATTTAAAAATAATAATAAAAATTAAATAATAAATAAAGTAAATAATTACTTTTTTTTAAAAAAAAAAAGCATACTTCCATTTTTCTTCTCCGAGTCTGTGTGCTGCTGTAATACACTTTACTTCTATACAAGGATTTCAAAAAGTTCAGGACCAGCAGTTGGCGTAATGGCTGTGTTGCAGACTCCCTTGCAGTCGACCATGGTTCGACCCAGTGGCTTAAATTCACGCCAGGCGTGTGTGCATGCATGCCCAAGATCCCGAGAGGAGAATGGAGGAGAAGGGATTGCGGCGTGGCCATCCCCCCTGGGGGGTGATTTCTCACATTCTGTCTCTCTGCTTTCTCTGTCTTTCTGGCAAGCGCATGCGCCCTATAGCAAAAAACTTCTCCAAAGGAAAAAAAAGTTCATGGAAAATAAAATTAAAGTATTAATTTATTTTGGTGAAAAAAATTTTGAAATCCATGCTTAGTTTTTTAATAAAACCTATTTTTCATGAAATGTTTAAAGATACGCATGTGTCATAAACCTGTTAATATGCATTTAGTATTTTTGCTTTACATAATCTTTCACAGCAACTAAAAAAAGAAAAACTTTTTTTATACTTACCCACATGTTTATCATTGTTTCGAACAGATTCTTATTTTGGTCTCATATTTTTTCCCTTTTGCGTAAAGAATTACAGTTTGAGCATGAGAAGCTTATTTATAATAGCTTGTTCTATGCTGTTATGTTAATTATTCCATATGTCATAGCTGGGCCTGTGTTTGTTTATCGAGTTTTTTCTCGTATAATACATACGTTTCTGCTTTTTCACATGCCTGGAGGTTTATTGTTGAATGCTGGACATTGTGGAACTTACATTGTTGCCTGGTGAATCGTGTATTCTTCAAAGAGCGGGTTTAGCTGTTCCGGCACTCAGTTACACTCCTTGGGATCGGTTTACCCTAGTTTAAGCCTTGCTCCTGAGCGTTGGGGACTAGGTACAGAGCATCTGGTAACCCTGGGAGAATTAAGGCATCTGCAGTGGCTGCAGTGGTGGTGAGCAGCCCTCCTGAGGATTTCCCTGAGGCTCCATGGTCACGAGGCTCCATGGTCACAAGGCTCCGTGGTCACACGGGCTCTTCCCTCTGGCCGGAAGAAGTGCAGGTTCAGCCTCCTGCTGCCTCTGTGGTCTCTGCTTTCTGCTGATTCTTGCACAGCCTCAGGGCATTTCCTCCACATGGACCATGGACTCTGCAGAGGCTCACACGACCCCCTCTGCGGGTCCTGCTGCTCACTCTGTAGAGCTGCCTCCTCTCTCCAGCACCCTGCCCTGCCTCGCTGAGGTCCAGTCTTGGTCTCCTCAGGTCGCTGGGAACGCTGAGCTCTGCTGTGTCCTCTGTTCCCGGATCTGGGTCCACATGCCGCCTCCAGGCAGTAGAGACAGCGATTATGGCTCATCTCCCCGGTTCCTTCTCAGGACTTGCAGTGCCCAACTGCTTGCCACCCAGTGTCTGAAAACCGTGATTTATTTTTTGTTTTTGTTTTTGTTTTTGTTTTTTTGCTTTTTTAAAAGTCTTTACATTTTTAAAATTTACATTTAATCACTATGTATCTTTATAGTATACAACACTGCTTCGTCCAGCACAAATGTGGTGTGTACCAGTCAAGACAAAGACTTTACCATGTACATTATCATCAGAAAATAACTTTTCATTTCTGTGTCTTTGGCTGAAAAGCTTGTCTAGTTTCTATTGGGTCATCGTGAAAGTCATGACCTATTTTTGAGTCATGAAAAGTAGAAAAATATGTCATGACTTTTCAATGACCCAAAAGATGTTGAATTTGAGAATTAAATCTGGTTCCCGTTATTCTTTGTTGCTAGAATGCATTATGATTTTTTAAAGGTTCTTCAGTGGAAGAACTTTGAAATTTATGGGAACCAGCAGTTAGCATAATGGCTATGTCGCTGGACTCCCACGTAGTCGACCGAGGTTCACATCCCGGACCCGGTGGCTTAAAACTCACGCTGGGCGCGTGTGCATGTGTGCCCAAGATCCTGAGAGGAGAATGGAGGAGAAGGGATTGCAGCATGACCATCCCCCCTGGGGGTGATTTCTCTCTTTCTGTCTCTATGTCTATGTCTGGCGAGCACACGCGCCCTATAGCAAAAATCTCCCCCCCCAAAAAAAAATTTATATCTTTAGGAATTGTTAAAGAAACTAGTCTGCGTTCAGAGAGAAAGAAACCCTTGAAAGGAAGATATACTAGAAGATAATTTCTTTTTTTAATAATTATTTAATGTTATTTATTATTATTTGTTTATTTATTTTTAATTTTTCTATAAGGCATGTACCCAGAGAGAGAAGGAAAGCAAGAAAGAAAGTCCCCTGGGCTGGGGCTTAAACTGCAGTCAGCCAGGTGGGAATCTGCCACCTTAATCACCATGCATGCTGGCTCCTAGAAGATAGTTTGAGACACAATGTGTCAGGTGGTAAGGCTGTGCTGAAAGTGGTGATGGTGGCAGCAGTGGAGATGAGGGGACAGATCTGGAAACGACTTTTGTGGGAAAAGACAGAATCTGGGAACAGCTTGTATGTGGGATACGGGCAGAAGTGAAAGATGATTTAACATTGTGAAATTAGTGGAATAGTGGCACACCTGAAAGAGAAGGAGGAGAAGCTTTTGAAAGCTCTTTTGGTTCTTTCATGTTCTGTTTCCTAGGAGATGGTGACAGAAATGTCCTCTGGCCCTTGTGTAGCACTGGAGATTCAACAGACTAACCCTGCAAAGACATTTCGAGAGTTCTGCGGACCTGCCGATCCGGTAAGTTATTATCTAAAACATTAGTCTTTAAAGTATTATAAACAACACACACCAAATATTTTAACGGACTTTTTTTTTAGCCTGATCCTTAAAAGACTGGATATAAGTAAATTTAACAGATAATTATTATTCAAAATGGCATTTTATATCATTTATCTGCATGTAATATTCTAAGAAAAATAATTTTTATTAACCTAATGATATTTAGAATGAGCAGAAGCGTTTGCTATGGTATTCACATCCATTATTTCTTCTTGCTCAATTGTGTAGGTAAGAAAATTTTGCAAGCTTCATGCTAGAAACGATCTAAGCTAATATCCTTTGATACAGAGAGGCTATACATGAAACTCTCAATGAAGAATGTTCATGCCAGAACAGAGCAGCAGGAGCAGTGGGACTCCTGTGGAATTGATACTCTGTGTATACCTCGCAGTTTGCTCTGCTCTGGGCTTTCTTCCTGTGAACGTTAGTGGTGGAGGTGGTGTGTGTGTGTGTGTGTGTGTGTGTGTGTGTGTGTGTGGTGTGTGTCTGGTTGCATGGGTTTCAAAGTCAATGTAGCATTAGAATATATGTGGAAAAACTCCATGTAAATGTCAGAAGCTGAGTAGGACTGTGGAAAGTATTGTAAACACTAATTTAAATTTGCTGCTTCCTGTGGTTTACTATCCCTTGTAAATATTTTATTAGTAATGAGCAGCTGGCTCACTTTAACTTATCCCAGTGCCCTTCGATGTAAGAGTGAGTCTGCTGCACCTGTCAAGAAACTGTCCTGTGTGGGAGCCCAGTGTTAGTGTGGCAAGAGTGCACACTAGAAGGTCCTTCGGGACACTTCCACAGCAGTGTACCCAAAGGGATCGAACTGTCATTAACGTAGGTGAAATCCCACTGTTGGAGGATTACGTAGTAAAAGAGCCCGTCAAATGGCCTGGAGGTAATTCAGAAAACTGTGTCACAGAAAGAAAGATATGAACGGGGATTGGAAAGGAGAATCGGGGTACTCAGAGGTGGGGGAAACTAACGTGTCCAAAGACATGAATGAAGGCATTTGCAAATTCAACTTGGTGTACTACAAGAACGCTTCTGACGTCAGTGTGGATGGCACCTGGAGGCAGGAGCCATGTTTCCTTAAGTAGAGGAAGTAAGGGGCGATTGCTGGTCGAGGTGAGGACGGGGCGGATAGTCTCGAAGTCAGCCCTGGAATGGTAGGCTCCGTGTAATTGGAGCCCGTACAGGGGGAAGCCCGGCGTGCTTGGATGTAGGTTAGCTGTGAGTATGCAGTTAAGCCCTTTGACGGCCAGGGCAGACAAGGCTGGGAGAGTTCCGTACAGACAGAGGCTCTAGCAGTAGGAAGCAGCCCTGGCGCATCAGCAGGGACGGCCAGCAGGAATTTCTTTTCGGGGAGGAAGAAGAGTACGCGAGGCGATGCATGTGGTCATGAGCGAGTGCAGTCGCAGCCTGATCCCGTGGTATCGCGTGGGAGAAGTGGTGGCGGTGCCGAGTGCTTATTAGATATCAGTTACGAAAGTGAGGAAGGGACAGTGTCCAGGGAAGTGAGTATGTGGAACTCATGCTTGGTATTTTCACTTTCTGTTTGACGATCAAGAAGAGGTTTGTTCATTTGTTTTTTAAGATAATTGTGATTGGAGGTGATCAGCTGTCTGAACAAAAGGGACAAATGAAAGTAATAAAAACTAGGACAAAAAGGACCGGGAGGAGAGCCATGCTATGGCCTGGCGGTGAAGGTGGTACTGGGGCCCACATTACCGACCCTGGGGTTCAGGTCGCTTGAGAAACATGCCAGGTGCACGCGCGCCCACACTTCTGAAAGGAGAGATGAGGAGAGGATCGTGGCACGACCCTGCTCCAGGGAGACTTTCTCGCTTTCCTTCCCTCTGTGTTCCTGTCTGTTTTTCTCCAGCAAGGATACATGCCCTCAGGCAAATGGGAAAAAAAAGGAGATAAGTTCTTTCATTCTCTCATTTACTTATTGAGTCTGTGTATTTCTGCATATGAAGACAAAAGCTTATAGTCTAGGGATGGACACACATTTTTGGCTCTCCCCCCCGCCCCCCAGGGTCCTCTCAGTCTCCAGCAGATGCGGCAGCCCCAAGCCCTTTCCTTTGACTCCTCAGGCCTGTCCTCTGAGATTTCCTGCTTGAGGTGTGTTTGTTTTTTTGGTTTTGGTTTTTGTTTTTTGTTTGTTTTTGCTATTGGGCGGGCGCATGTGCTTGCCAGAAAGAGAGAGAGATACAGAAAGCGAGGAATCACCCCCAGGGGAGATGGGCACGCCACAGTCACTTCTCCATTCTCCTCTCGGGATCTTGGGCACATGCACCCAGTGTGAGTTTAAGCCACCGGGTCCAGGATTCGAACCACAGTCAACTACATGGGAGTCCAGTGATATAGCCATTATGCTAACTGCTGGTCCCCCTTCCTGCTTGTGTTTTAGCTGTCACATTGACGGGAAACAATCTCAGGGGATTACTGTAAATGCAGGAATCTCAGTGTAGTTCCTTTTTCTTTAAAAACTTGAATCCTTACAGCTTTGCCTACTTTTGGTCTGCTCCAGTGTTTTTAAAAACTTATTTTAGAGGGACCAGCAGACAGTTAATGGTTATATCACTGGACTCTCATGTAGTCAACCGTAGTTCAAGTCTCAGACCCGACAGCTTGAAACTCACACCAGGTATTTGTGCCTGCATGTCCAAAATCCTGAGGGGAATGGAGGGAAAGGGTCTGCTGTGTGGTCATCCCCCCAGGGGGTGATTTCTCGCTTCCTGTCTGTCTGTCTCTTTCTCTCTGGCAAGTGCACATGCCCTATAGCAAAAAATCTCTCTTAAAAAAAAATTAATTTTATATAGACAGAGTCTATGGGGGATTCAAACCACAGCCATCCGTGTGGCTCTGGCATTGCAGAGCAGTGCCCAGTAGAGCTGGGCTTCTGATTTTTATTTTAAGAAAGTAGAGCTTTAAATTGCTATTCATATATTTATCCAGTATAAGCTATCCCCCATGGCTGCTGTGTGGTCACAGCCCCGTCAGAGCGCCCATGACATATACCCCTGCCCTCCTCCCCTCTGACTCTCCTACGTCAGTCCGCCATAGCTGGACTTCTTCTCCATCTGTCCTTCAAATGAAGGCGTCTTAAGGGCTTGGGCCTTGGTCCCTTCAGGGTCGCTGAGCTCTCCCTGTGTGAAACCACTGCTGGAAATCTCATGACCAGCTCCCTACAAGTTCCTGCGCTGCTGCCGCTGGCCCCCACCTTTCTTCTGCGGCTCAGGTGCTCCCAAGGCTCAGTGGCTCCTGCTCGTTTCCCCTTTGTGGTACATTTTCTCGTCTTCATGAGTGTCGCACTGTCGTCCTACCTGCAGCCCTCTCCTTTATCTCCACACGTTTGTCCATGTCCAGAGACCTGCGACCGTCGCCTCCTCACACCTGAGGCCCTCCTCTCTGTCTTCGCTGGTGTACTGAGGCTGTCATGTTGAAAACACCATTTATTATGGATTTTTTTTTTTTTTTTTTTTTTTTTGCCAGAGGGAGCATGCACTCACCAGAGGAGAGGGAGAAATCACCCCAGTGGGTCCAATCATGCCACGTCCCTGCTCCATCGTTTCCCCATTCTTCCAAGGATTTTGGACATGCATGTGCATGTGCCTGCTGCAAACACCATTATTAATAGGTCCATGGCGGATCATGCTTATGGCTAATGCTTTTTTATTTTATTATTTTTAATTTATCAGAGGGCACATTAACTCACCAGAGAGACAGAGAGAGAGACAGACAGACAGACAGAGAGGGAAAGTGAGGAAGCACCCCTCATGGGGCATGGTCACACTGCACTCACTTCTCCATCTCCCCCTCCTCCACATCTCTCACCTCCACCTCTCCCTTCTCCACCTCTCCCTCCTCCACCTCTCCCTCCTTTTGGGATTTTGGGCTCACACACAAACACACCTGCTGTTTCTCAAGAAGCTGCCCGTGACTAACCCTTTTACAAAACATTTCTTCTGTATTCAGATTTATCTTAAACGTTCCTGCATCATATTGTCCATCAAATGTAGTGATTGTTTTCTCCTAGCCTTTCAAACAATGCATTATGCTCTGAAAATCCTTGGAATTAAAAGAAAAGAATGTCTTTGGTGTCAGAGAACTCACTACCTAGAGGAGGGACTCTAGACAAGGGTAGGATGAGAGATGGTCCTGGGGCAGGGCGGGCCTGGAGACTTGAGGCAGAGGGCGCCCCAGGGGGACGGGGACTATGCAGGCAGCGGGGCATGGCTGGGTGGCCTGGCTGGCAGTGCGTGTTCAAATCAGACGTCCTCTCCATCCCCACTTTCTCTAACCCGTCGGTCATAACATGGCTGGGCCGGTCTCACCTCGCAGCAGAGTCCTTGCTCTGGCACATAGCACTCAGAGTGTCCTCTTATTCTGATGGGATGTGTCTTTTATGTTTATATTACATATGTGTGTGTGTGTGTGTGTGTATGTATATATTTTAAGAATGATATTTTTTGGCCAGCCAGGTGGTATGGTGGTTAAGACAGCCAGATCCCACATTGTCAAGTGTGTAGTTCAAGTCCTGGACCTCGGACTTGAACTGAGTGCATTTGTGTGCCTGCCCAAAATCCCCAGAGGAAAATGGTGGAGAGGGATTGTGGTGTGGCCATCCCCCTGGGTAGTGATTTCTCACCCCCACCCCCCACCCCATGAACATATGTGCCCTTAGCAAAAACTAAAACTAATAATGGCAATATTTTCTAGAGCATCTGAGACCACTGCAGGAAAGCTGTTGGTGCAATAAACTTTGAACCTGGTTTTCCTCAGATGAGTCCCAGTGTCCACTCTCTAGGGAACACCTAACCTGCCAATACAGAGTTCTTTGTCACACTATCACTTATTGTCAGCACACTGGGCCACCGTGCATTAGGCTGCCATCTGGATTTTGGCCACACATTTCTGGGACGGAAGCTCAGTCTCAAGCAACGAACAGTCACTAGAACAGTATCAACAGCACTTAATATGTGCACGGCCGTGTGTCCTCGTGAAGTGGGGGCCGACACGCTCTCCTTAGAGAATGCAAGTTTACAGGCTCCCTACGGCATAGGTTAGGGTGAGCTGTGACTAAACCTTACCCAGAGCAGGGCCCACACTCTTACCTCCACTCTGTTGGACTGAGCCGTACTCGGCCTCACTTTATGGAAACCGTGGACTGTGCTGTGGGTGTTCAGGAGCGGGGAGGACAGATGTTGGCTTTTCTCACATGGAACGGACGGCCTCATGAGGAGCACTGCCACCACCAGTGCCCACACGTGTGTGCATATGACACTGCATGCACTGTGAGGGAGCACATGTGTGTGCATGTATGACACTGTGCATGCTATGAGGGAGCGTGGTGGTGACCGGTACCTGCACACGTGTGTGTGTGTGTGTATGACACTGTGCATGCTGTGAGGGAGCGCAGTGGTGACCAGTGCCTGCACACGTGTGTGTGCGTGTGTGTATGACACTGCGCATGCTATGAGGGAGCGTGGTGGTGACCGGTACCTGCACACGTGTGTGTGTATGACACTGAGCATGCTGTGAGGGAGCACGATGGTGACCAGTGCCTGCACACATGTGTGTGTGTGTGTGTGTGTGTGTGTGTGTGTATGTATGACACTGCGCGTGCTATGAGGGAGCGTGGTGGTGACTGGTGCCCGCACACATGTGTGTGTGTGCGTGTATGACACTGTGCGTGCTGTGAGGGAGCGCAGTTGTAACCAGTGCTCACACATGTGTATGTGTATGACACTGTGCACGTGCCATGAGGGAGTGCAGCAGGGAACACAGCCACCACTGTTGCCTGCACTTGTGTGGGTGTATGACACTATACAAGTGCCATGAGAGAGTGTAGGGGGGTGCACGGCCACCACCGGTGCCCGCACATGTGCATGCGTATGACACTACGCGCGTGCCATGAGGGAGCACGGTGGTTACTGCGCAGGTCGCTGCAGCGGGCAGCTCTGGCTTCGTTGAAGTGGAGGAATTCCCAGAGATTCTTGTTTGTTCTGGGTGAACTGAGGTTAAAAGAAGTCCAGTTCGGGGCGGCGGAAGCCGCGGGGCGGCCGCCCAATGGCCCCGGGGGAAAAGAAGTCCAGTTCATCTCTGGCATAGAGTGCAGGGAGGAGAGGCACCCACGGTGCAGCCGAAGGGATGCACAGGCCAGAGCTTGACAGCCATGTTGGCTGGCAGGATTTGCTCCTGGGTAGGAGGCCCCATGGGAAGGTTCTGATGAGATCAAATTTGCATTTCAGAAGGGCACTGGACTACCATGGGGAATCGAAGGGAGCACAGTGGAGTAATTCTTAGGATATGATAGGACCCTGAGCTGGGGGTGTCAGTAGAAGGTTCTGGAAGATGTGCTAGCGGGAGAGCTGGCAGACCCTAGGATGCCTTGGAAGCAGCAAGAGCAGCTGGGAAGCTTAGCTACCACAGAGAAAGAAAATCATGATAGAAATGACTTACATTTTAGAGTACATACAGGAACAGCGATTAAAACACCGGACCTGGTTTAAATGTGTTTCCTGAGCTATTGATTTAAATTTTAAGTGTGTGTAAGTAGCTGTTAGTGTCAAAATAGAAGCTAGAACTAGCACACACACACACACACAGATCTTCAGCCCTGAGTTTAAACCGTGTCACTTAAGCCCTTACCAGCTAAATACTTAGAACCCTGGTCTTTGATGGGAGTTGTCTGTTTTGTTCTTAAATTAGTGGCTTGGAGATAATGGACTCTTATTTCGGACCTTCAGTGTTACTTATACGTATATGTTTAGGTTTTGTTTTTGTTTTTTTTTTTATTTCAAGTTTTGTAAAAGCGGAAGTGCTATATTTCACCCTGCTGTAGCCAGCAGGTGTTGCTTTCTTGTTAGTTCTTCGTTGGAGATTTAGAAGTGGGTAGAATCACTATACTTGATTAGAATTCAAAAGCAGATGGACACATGTTCTTTTACAACCTTGAAAGAGTGAAATCTAAGTAATATATGTATATATTTCCAAACCTGTAAGTTTATATATATCTTTTTATTACTTTGTTACCTTCTATAAATGTGATCCAAACCATTAAAGGTTACATTTAGACACTATTTGGGATTATCACCAGATTTGGCCTTTAAGCCTTCCTAATTAATGTGGTTTACTGCGAGGAATTGTGACTCTTACTGAGATGTCACACTTGATCCTGCATAGAAAGCAAATGAAACGCTGGGGGAGTCATTAATACAGGCTCTTCAGTTCCGAGTTTCTGAGCTGCAGAGATTGCTAGAGCACAAACATAGCTTCCTGTCATCCTCTGACCGCACACCCACATGGATGTCCACTGTAAAGTTACCTGCTTACAGTGCTTGTTTTGTTACCTTTTCCTACCATTAGCCACATTTCAGAAAGCGTGTAAGATGCCGGGTGCTTGTGCATGCACGCCCGAAATCCAGAGAGAATGGAGAGAAGGGATTGTGGCGTGGCCATCCCCCTGGGGGGTGATTTCTCACTTTCTGTCTCTCTCTGTCTTTCTGGTGAGTGCACGCGCCCTA